ATCGCACACAAGAAGATTCGTCGGCGTTTTTTTTTATTTTTTTATTTATATATAAAAAAGTTTTTAAATTCTTGTAAAGTCACTAGCACGCATAGCGTTTCGGGCAGGTCCTTAATTTTATTTTTTCCCCTGAAGTATGACCCGCCAAATCGTTTAACAACCTATTCTCTACTGAGTGAACAGTTAAGGATTGTCGCCCGGTCAATCCTTCCCGGCCAGGATACGAACCCAGGTCAAAGGGCTGGCGATGAGCCGGGTACGTGCTTTACTACTGCGCCACAGAGACTGCTCCGTGGCGTAGTGGAATTTTGAATTTTGAAACCTGACTAACCTAGCTCAACTCAACCTAACGTAACCCAAATCAAACCAATTGTAGTGAGTAAACTTATACTCGCTCCATTATCTCATCATCTTAATGGCATAACTAATTACACAAGCTATAATCCTATCCCTATTTACAGGTAACGGTTTTTCCACCCTCCTATCTTACTGTGAGGTGTAGTCACCGTATATAAGCCAGCAATTTGAGAATAGCAAACCACGGGAGACATCTCCCCTCACGCAGGGTGCAGTCGCACCTCTACAGATCGCCAGTATCAGCTCTTGATACTGGTAATGGCTCAAAAGGGCCACCACTTACGGGCTATTCATGCCCGTGCCACCTTTTGGGTGGCTTAATCTTCATCAATCAATCAATAGCAAACCAGTGCAATCTCCAGTCAAGAATGTAGTACTCGGTGTAGGCAGTTCTAATCGACCCAAGACGCTACAGCTTCGACACAGAGCAGACAGCAGACTACGACCTCATCCAGCTACAACACTCTCCCACATAGAGCTCCGCGACTCCGGCCACACTCAGCTCTCTGCTCTGCTCCAGGCTTCGTCTCAACGTCTACGACACTGCTGTATCCAGGACTACTAAATAAATATGAAACTCGCTAAACACTGTGTATCTAACCAACCCAACAACGTAACATAAACGTACGTTACACAATCAAATCCAACCGAGCCCAATGCAGCCTAACCTTAATAACATAACCTAATACAGCCTAGCATAACAATTACATCCGGTTTTAAAACAGAAAATGAGTAGCCGAATCGTCTCGTGTCCGCGTGTAACCAGAACCCGACCAGTTGTGTACCTACAGACCTAGCAAACAAACACCTGCAGACGAGGAGTCATAATAACGTGGCTGAAATATGTTGACTAAACCACACACTAGAAAGTGAAGGGACGACGCCGTTTCGGTCCGTCCTGGACCATTCTCAAGTCGATTGTGAGAATGCACAATTGACTTGAGGATGGTCCAGGACGGGCCGAAACGTCGTCGTCCCTTCACTTTCTAGTGTGTGGTTTGGTCAACAAACACCTCACCTAACCAGACAAACACCCCCCTTACTCTACCTTACTCTACCAAGCACAATGAGAGCCGTACCAAAGTTGGGAGGGTCCACAGACAAGAACGTGGTTGTAAGTACAGGTCCACAGGCATGGGTCCCAGTGCCCACCATCTGGGTTGGAGAGCAACAGTGCATTGCTTTGCTCAGAGAGTATAATGCTGCTAACACAGCCCTGCCTTCAATATGCAAACTTTTCAGGATTATTTAATTAGCTAAGATTTGCCTAAATTTATCAGAGGGTCACTATCTCTCAGTGAGGATAGGAAGCCGGCGACTTGTCAAATGTCTCCTATTTGCCCTGGTGATTTTATCGAGCAATGTTTTATAATTTACGGCTTCGTCGAAAAGGTGGTTCCATGGTTTTGCTGAAATTACTGGAGGGTGGCCCTCGGGGAAATTCTGGTATCTTTCTCTCTAATGGTCTCGACGAGGACAGGAAGGTTGTCTGGCTTGTTGAAGGCCCCTCCCATTTGTTTTGAGGCCAAACAAATGCCAATGTTTTGGCATTTACGGCTTCGGCGGGTATGCGTTTCCACAACTGTATAATTCTATAGGAGAAAACAAATATTTTCCATCCCTCAGTGAGGGTTGTTGAGCTCGAAACCGTTGCTCCTTGTTCGTCTTACATCTAGCCTTTTGAAGAAGTGTTCTGGGTCAATATCTTCCAAATTGTTCAGTAATTTAAAAGTTTTGCTGAGAGCAGCCCTGTCATGTCTGGTCCCTGTGGCCCTCAACCGTCTCTGGTATGAAAGTCGACTTACACTACATAACTCTTAATGTTGACTTAGTTCAGAAAAGATTTTAGTCGTCCAGTGGTGAACTTTCTCCAGAGCAGATATGTCTTTCTGAAGATGAGGTCTCAATGCGTGGATATAATAATCAAGTGGAAGCACACCAGAGATTTATACAGTTGTATAACTACCTTTTCCTTCGTCAAAATTTCGTTTGACTATTCCAAAGGATTTGGTTTGCTTTTATAACTCCAGCTTCCACTTATTGTACAACTATCAGTGATTGGTGGATTCTGACTCCAAGATAATGTTGATGATTTGGAAGTTGTGCATTGTTATGCCCCACATGGGTGAAAAAATCTCATGTTTTCTGTCCTAAGTTGTGGCTTGTTGAACCTGAAATCGTTGTTCCTTATTTGTGATTGATTGATGAAGATTAAGCTACCCAAGAGGTGGCACGGGAATGAATAGCCCGTATGTGGAAGATTTTTTTGGAGTGAATGTGATCTTTGGTCGGAAAAGGATATACTGTGTGCTGTGCTAGCATTTAAATCGTCAGTCTGTGGCTGCTATCGCAGGGTGCTTGTTTGTGTTGCATCTGACCGTAAATAATCATCATTGAGTTACTTAACATTAATAGCCCAAATTAGCCTTTCGTATATACATATGCGCTGGCTTGTGTTCGCTGCTGGTTCAAGTTCAGTGCAAGTTCTTGAACTTGGCAGCACCCAGTCTTTAATTTGGCCCCTTTGTGGGACCATGGTATAAGCCTAACATGTATATATACACTGGCTGCTTGTCCCCCTACACAATGATTTATTATTACCTATTATTTTATCATTTAATTTAAATATTAAATAAAATAATTTATTTAATTATTATAGTAAGTACTTAATAATTTAAAAATCAGTAGTAAGTACATAAAAATTATTAAAAAGTACAGTTTAGTAATATTTTTTCTCTAATTTTTTTCTTATGAAATGATAAAGCATTTCATTATGTATGAGGTCAATTTTTTTATTGGAGGTAAAATTAACGTAGATATATGACCGAACCTAACCAACCCTACCCTACCTAACCTAACCTATCTATATAGGTTAGGTTAGGTTAGGTAGCCGAAAAAGGTTAGGTTAGGTTAGGTTAGGTAGTCGAAAAACAATTAATTCATGAAAACTAGGCTTATTAGGCAAATTGGGTCTTGCATAGTAGGCTGAGAAGTGCGTTCTGGCTACTAGGTACGACATACATACATATATATATATATATATATATATATATATATATATATCGTATATATATATATATATATATATATATATATATATATATATATATATATATAAAGATAAAGAAAACAAAACCCCTTAGACACTTGGGTTTTTACACAAAATTAAAGAGAGAAATATTTACAAGATTTTACGTTAATCAAAAAGAGGTGCAATGACTTTATACAACAGCTGTACGCATCTACTATCTCCTGGAGAGGTGAGAGTAGATGTTACTGCTGAGAGCACGAAGTGTATTCAGAAGATTGGACTCTGGTGAGCCCCTTACATATGGGCCAGACCATCATAGATGGCGCGACTCTTGTAGGTAACCATCGGCCAGCAGTTAAACAAGCAGTTAGCGTCTGGTCGACCAGCGAGTAGTGTCTGGGCCTCTGCCCAGACTCTGCCATCTCCCAAATAAATGAGCAGCATCTCATAATAACTGCCATCTGAGCCCACTTCCGTAGAACTGCAAGGGGTTAGGGCTGGCTGGAGTTCAGAAAGAGAAAGGGTCATTATAGAGGTGTAGGTGGGTGTTAAAAGTCTAAGGGACAGGAATCAATAGGGAGTTTATGTGTAAGTAAAGTAGAAGGAAGACTATTACTGGAGCTAACTGATGAAAAGTGCAAACCTAGTTTGTTCACGACCAACACCGTATTTGCCATGGCAAAACAATGGAGGTGAAAGACTGGCGAGATACATGGAGCAAATTTACTGCAATACACACACAAATCACAATTGCGTGATGCATCAAATGAACAAAAATTTCATCACGCAATTGTGATTTGTGTGTGTAATGAAATAAGGGCGAAGAGGGAGAACAGCCTATTGACATAGGTCGAGTGCATGGGGGGGTTGTGTAAAACCCTGGTTTGTGCCTCGGAGAGGCTGAAGGATCCAGTAAGTTCAGAAGAACTTCAGTTTCAACTCCTTTTCATGTCGTAGCTGTTGATTAAGGCAGCGTCTGGGATGCTCTCGGATGAGGTTCGAATTCTCGTCACGGCCCTTGTGAATTTGTTTAAATTTACTGCAAACTTATTTATTTTCCAGATCTTAGGGAGAGGGATGTCAACCATAATGGAGGAGACATAAGATTTGCAAGTTGATATATTTCAAAGATGGGCCAAAACATGGTCACTTTCTTTCCAATTCACAAGCGAGTTTGATTTTATGTTTTCAGCTGTCATTGTGACATTCTCTGCATTACCAAGTTTTATGCAATGCTGTATAGCCAAGTTATATACAGTGTGATGGTTAAACACTTAACCATCACACTCAGCTACGATAAAGAGAATTACTGCAGCTAACAATAAATCTAAGAGTTCCTAATATGGACACTGTTACAATGTTCATAAAAACATAAAATGTGTAGTACAGAAAAATGGCTATGAAGCTGAAAGGGCCAATTATAAACATTATAAATTGAATGGTGTTTGTAGCAGAAGTCAAGATGGGAAAACTGTTCACAAGTTCACAGTGGAGTGGAGTGTATCAATGATATGATTCGTTATGCCAAGGTCATATATTGTACTGTAGAAGCATTAACAAATTAAATATGATCATTAGTGTACAATTTGTTATACGTGGATTTTAAAGAGAGTTTAAATCAGATAATTTTGCATTTATTGATTCAGGGCACACACATGACAACATAAATATAAATGAATATTTAAAACTTTTTTTACATGGAAAACATGGAAGACTGCTGCAAGCTGAAAGGTTTGTAGTGGTTGTGTGTTACAGAAAAGGTTTTCGGATCACAAATTGGTTTAAGAAATCTTGACAGTCAATTAATGTTTTTATCAAGCACATGAGAATATTTATACATTAACTACTTAAATTTCCCCAAGTCAAAACGTCGGTTGTTACATACCCGGTAATAATGATAAAATTTAGTTTCTTACAATAATAATGTGTACAGTACATTTTTATTTGATGTAATGATTATTAACCACAGATAAGCTCATGTTTGAATTTATTAGGCACTTCCTTTTAAATATAATAATGTATGGCATATTTATGAATGTGACATGTTTAATAAGGATAACATTTAATAGTGTAAATTGAAAGTACAGTATTACAAAATAATTTAAAATCAAGAATTGACTTCCAAAATTTGTCAACAGGAAGTTTGTATATTGTGCAAAAAAATTTCAAATACTTTTCATGTTTCTTGCACATGAACCTTAAATTTTTAGGTACAATGGGTTAAAAAAAATGAAGAGGAAACAATAATTGACAGTTTTATTGAAATTAGAGAACCAATACAGAAAAGAACATGTTATAACAGACTTAAGGCAAGAATTTGTTGGAAAATTGTATATAATGTAACTGTCATGGACACACTGTATATGAATGAAAAGTTGATGAAAATTAACAGATTAACTTTTGTATGCATAAGGAAGTGAGAGCCTGCAGACGAGTGTTCAGAATATGATCTGTACGAGACTTGTAACATTAATTAAAGTGATTGGACATAACATATGAAAGCAGCTTTGTGTACGAGGTTACAGGAAATGGAGGAATATATTTAGATAACACAAGTGTAGTGAATGGACAGTATTAAATGTGGAAGGCTTTGATTGCTGTTATACGTAATTTGTATTTAAAATATTGGTAACTTAACCATTTATATATATATTGTATATTATACTAATAAAATTTGTACACGTTTTCCTTCACACAGAGGAAAACAATGCCAACTGTATATACAAATATTAATGCAGAGTTAAGAAAAGTCTGATTAAAACCACAAAATTTTAAAGATTATGAAAATTATTTTTTGTGTACATATTGAAAACGATATAGTAGAAAGTTTTGAGTCGAGGAAACCACATGACTTATGCACGTGTTAAAGGATTTAAGCAAGGAACTAAGCGACGTGTGTGGTGAGGTTAACAAACGAGAGTTGCAAGTGTACAAGATAGTTGAAGTTAATGTTTAAAGTGATGAAATTAGTTACTGTATACTGAAGGAAGAAAGTGACTTGCAGGTGTGTACTGAAGTGTGTTGCATCGACCGAAGCAGTAACATGAAAGGGCACAGAGGGCATTGAAAATTTTAGGGAGAAAAAGGTATAAATGGTAACAAAGTTATTGCTGCTTCCAATATTCACAAACTAAATGTTGATATTCATTGTTTCAGTCACATGAAGGTAAAAGAAAATGTGAACATTGATGTTTAATTTATATATATATTATATATATATATATTTTTTGGCATGGATTCACTAGCCAATATTCTTTGATGCTGAAAATCATATTAAAATTTGTACATAAAAATTGTAAAATTATTTACCTCCATTATTAGAAATCTGCCCAAATACAGCACTGTACTGTATTGCCAAAAAAAGCTGATGAAATGCTCTACATAATCCAAACAAAAGACATCAATAACTTTGGTAATTATTATGTAAATAATTTTCAATAACAAAATGAACACAACAAACAAAAATTAGTTTCAAATTTAACACCATATTGGACTGGATTTGAAAATGGCTGATGCAAACGTCTAGGAGACGTTCCCTTGGAAAATATGTATCACTAGTGGCAGCATTCCAATTTGTTCCACACCAGACTCTTCCTTTAAGGACTTCTTTTCCTTCATTGGGCAATACATCATGCAGTAAAATCTTTGACACCTGCAGCTAAGTAGGTTAACCCTTAACATTCTGACATCCAAATAATTTAGGTACTGGATGCTGGGTACCTTGTGTAAAGTACTGTACAGCTCTTAACATTCTTGCCATAAAATTTCCTTGGAAAATACCATGCTCTTTGCCACATCTGTTGAAGCTTTCCTATACAGTGGAGTTTATGGTGGCAGGCAAAGTTATTTATATAAAACTGCTCCCACTATATTTCTAGCTAATTACTGTACTGAAACGTCAACTTACTTGAAAACTAAATTCTAAAACCCCAATGCTTTTCCTCGTCTAATTAAATCTCATTACAAATAAAAAAGAAAGCCCTAGAACTATCAATAGCATTATGAATTGGGAATAAATTTCTGCATGAAAGGAATATGGCTGCTTGCTCATGTTTTGATGCTTTCTAAAGGATTAATTTAAATAACCTTAAGTACCAAAATATGATGCAAAATAATAAAGAGTGCAGGAATCATTAACTCTAAATATGTTAACCAACACTGTCCTATATAAATCACATCCCTTTTCCATACACACCTATGTACAAATATTATAAAAGGATATACTCTGCACAGGAGGAATCCGACAGTGACAGCTCAATGAATAAGAATTCATAATGATTAACTTGTAATTTCTAGCTGTTAAGTGTTAGTTTAATAATTTAATATTAAATCAACATCCATCTATAAAAGATGAATACAAGACAATTTTCCAGGAAACCATGAGAACATTAGAAAATATCATCTATGTCCAAAGTCAAGGAAACCCTGCCTCCTCAGCTTTACTCTCAGACCATTATCTTATACTGAACTTATAAAATAAGATCTGGAATGCCCTCTGCAACACAGTCATGGATGAATATAACAGCTTCACACTGGCCCCAACATGGTGAACAGCATGCTGATAATACCAACCCAAGATTATACACAACTGCAGTATTTGACTGCCCTCAAGTTGTTCAGCAATTTTCAAGTGGAATGCTATGAGAATTGCCTTAGGTAACCCCTTAGCAAAACTTGAAAATTTCTAAGGCATAATATAGAGGAAGCCAAACAATGCTGCAAATGCTGATCCAAGGGCATGACTTGGTATGTTTGATATTTAAAGAAAGCTCGACTTTTCATAAGCTTCTCTCTGGATAACATGGTTCAGTCAACAGCAGCCCAGACAGATCCCAGGCTATTACTAATGCTGCCACTCAATCACTTCTAAAACACTAAAACTACTGGTCTGGGGGAAGAGGTTTCAGTTCCTTGATCTGCTTAATTAAATAAGCTTTTTCATCATTGAACTGTTCATCTTCAGAACGGTCTGTATGGAAGCGTGTCAAGAATTCTACGAGCTTGTCCTGGTTTCGCAGGAGGATTTCCAGGATAGGTCGGGGTTTGTCCGGATTGGCGACAAACACCTTAAACACATGGAAGGCTTCAAACTGGATATTACGAGATCTCTCCTTTAACATTATCATCATCAGTTTCAAGTTGTCTGGATTACTGATGTACCGCTTCATAACCTGAAATAGTGGAAATATACTAAGAGCCCTAAATGTGACTAGGATAAAACAATATAATCTGCACATACAATGGCTTACTGCCTTTAATAACTTTTTTGACGTAGTGGCCTCATGAGCAATTTTTTTTCATTAAGATATCAGTGATTTTCAAGCTATAAAAATTTGCAGAAACAATTTGGTTTTGACAAACTGTTACATTCCAGTTCAACTACAGTACTGTAAAACTAAAGTTCCCACTGACTTGTACAGAAAATCTAGTTAATTGAAAATGCTCTACAGTATCAGGGTTGAGAGTTAACAGACAAAAATTCCAGTTACAGTTGATGTAATTGGCAATTATTTGCAAGTAAACAAAACATTTTATTTCTAAAATGATAGTGTAACTTCAGAAAAGTAACTTACAGAAAAGTTATGTCTGTCTAATAAAAGTTCCCCAAGTAACTTTAGCGACTGTCTCCGAGTCACATAGTTGTCGGAGTTGAGGAGATTCTCATATTGTGAGAACACCCGGTCATAGTTCTGCTCTAGGAACTCTGCACACAGCATCTTATGTTTCGTCAGAAGTTCCTGAAAGAGATTTTGGCAATTTAGGTTTGACAAACATTTAAGAACCTATATTTGTGGTTGTGTCAGCCACTGTGTAATGTTAATACAAGGATCAGATAAATCCCAAATTAAAAATGAACTATATTTTAGAATTCATACCCATTGATAAAATTTAACTGCAAGATGAGAAATTTGTTTGAAATTTGCATAATTTCACTACCGTTTTGTTACCATTGCAGTACAGTATATATTATGCTATCTTTTTTCTTACTATTTGCTTGATGGCTCAAGTGCTTTCCCCCCCCCCCAAACACACACAAGAGGAGAATGAGTTAACAAATATACCTTAAATGTGGAGAAGGCATCAGATGCGATATCGAAGGTAGAAACTTCTACATACTTAAAGAAGTTATAGAAGTCATCACTATTGAGGATTATCCTTGTAAGGGCCTCGTATCTGGCACATTCCCGAAGCATCGTCCCACAATGAAGGGCAATATCCTGGTGTTCATATCTATTCGCAAGCAAAAATTTGTGTCAATAATTCCTAAAACATGAAAATATGATACATAAATACAAAAAACTCTATAAGCAACTGCTGATCAACAGGAACTATGAGCTTTCCAAAACATTATTTTGGTGACAGGTGATCAACTTATTATGGTGAAATATGCTACTTGCATCACTCCCATCAGGCAGTGGTTTACTAGGTTCTAACTGAAGCTACACTGTTATATACTGTGTTTATCTATCATATATAACGTGTAATCTACAGTTCTCTGTAATGGGCATGTCTGTATACCTGTGCACTCATGTATGAGAGGTAGATACTAAATGTTTAAATGTGGATAAATTAATATGGTAGGGTTTTTAAAGGTTTTGTAACAAAGTTGAATATATATTGGTATTTACTAAACTAATTTTCTTAATGTCTAAGATTCACAAGAGGACAAAGGAAATTACAAACACAATATGGCATAGAACCCCCCCCCCCTCCTCCTATGCAACTGTAACAAAGATGGACAAGAATTCAAGCATGTTAACAAGAACCATGAGGATGACCTCTAGTAAAGATGGCCCTTCAGATGCCACCAAGGCAGGCTACAGAATTGAAGTCTAATAAATATTTACAGAGGTTGGCATCTATTTCCATTAAGGTTTTATGGCTATCCTTCAAACATTTTGGGATGTCTTACAGTTTCTGAAAGATGGTTTCTTCAAAACCTTAGCACTGAAGATCAACACCAGAGGCTAGTCTCAAGTTTCTTGAACTTTATGAAACCAATAGAGCCACTTTGTTTCACAGCTGGTGATGGGACAAAACACCAGATCCATCATTTGGACTCTGTAACTATATAATCATAACTAGCTAATCAAAGCAATGCAAGCACCAAAATTCTCCAACCCCAAGAAAATCAGAAGTCAACCCTCAGTCAGCAAAATTGCAGCCTTGACCCTTCTAGGATGCTGGAGAGATTCTGTTGTATGGTCACATGCAACATGAAACAATCACCATTTATTATGCTGGCTTAATGCAGAATTAAATGCAGGGCATCCAGGAGAAACACAGGGGGAATGTTGAATATCTACAACAATATGCTGATCAATATATTCAACACAGGTATCTATTTACAGTTATGGATTTAAAAAAATTGATCACTTTCTGTACAGAACACATCTGGATGCAAGGAACTATAATATGCTTCCAGTAAGATGAGCCAAAGAAGGTTGTCGATGTATGGTTTGATCAGGCAGCAGTTAGACGACTTTAAAAGACTGACAATTATACTTAGCTATATCTTATAATTACTCCATGAAATGCAGATATATTAATATTTGAACGTTGTTCACCCTCTGCAATTATAATAAAATTGTGCTAGAATATTTTTACACTGTACAGTTCTAGAAGTATTACTTACCCCTTCATGAGAGTGAAGAGAATCTCTGGTTTAGTACAGATGTATTCAACCGTTGGTGAGCGAATACCTATTTGCCTTCGCAAAATGTTGTTGAATATCTGAGCTACATCCTTCTTGCCCTACAACACACAAAAAGGAACAAAGATAAAAATTGACTATGGGACAAGAAAAACTAAGTGCCTTCCCTGAAGGAGAGCAGCGTTGCCAAATAATTCGATGCTCACTGTAGTCCCAAGACACGGCATGCTGCTAGTGACACTTTATACACCGCTTACACTTAGGTTCCAACTGGTGATAAAAACAATGTCACTTATTTATACCATTAAGATTTGAAATATTTTATTATATAATGATGCTTCTAAATATAATTGCTCAATTAAATATATGCAGTTACAAATGAAAGATCAAATTAAAACTACCCTTTAAAGACTTATTCATCACTATTTGTCACTTTACCTGAACAAATATATTATTTGATAAAAACCCATACAGTACTTATGTACTGTATTTGTAAATTTTGTCACACTCTCCTGAGTGCTTTGTCAAGGTCTGAGTATTTTACTTTGAGTATATACATACTTGGACCTTGACAGAGCACTCAGGAGAGTGCAAAAGACTTTGTGTAAATCTTTACATAAAATTCACAAATACACAAGTGAGAGTTTTATCCTATATTATTATATCTGTGAAAAGACATTACCATTATTTAAAAACATTATTTATGTACACTTGTAGCAGAACTCACCTCAAAGTCTATTCTATGAAGATTAAGAATTAGTAGTAACAGCATATTGGTGTTATAGAACTCGTGGGCCAGCTGTGCCAACACAATGTCCTGAGGTTCGGAATCAGTGGTGCCATACAGCATCGTCTTTATCTGCGTCAGGCTCTTGCTTGTATCCTCTTGTGCCTGGTGGACAAAATTATTTTTGTATTTACTTTTATTACTCAGGAAGCCAGCCAGCCAGTTGCTGGAGAGTAGAAGTGGTGTTTCAACACTATCACTGTGACACTACTGTGGAGGACTGGCCCATGATTTACCGAGAAAGGTGGACTCGCCGGCGCGAGTGCCAGTAGAAGAAAGGCCCAGGGAAGCTATCTTGAGTGTTGTACAATAGAAAATAGAAGATGTCTCGCTGGGATAGAAGATGGCATAAGTTCTTCAGAGTGTCCTGTGTGAATGTGACACCGGCGATGTTATGTTACATACATATGTAAGAAGCGTATATAGTAAAGAAGTACATGGGGTGATGGTTTTGACTTGTGTTGTTTGCCCTCATTCCTATTGGATTAACTATTACTGCCAGTTCTTAATTACTTGCCATGACTCAGGGTTGGATCTGGTAAGAGCCTGCCTACAATGGGCAAGTTTATTGATGGTAGGCTAAGGTAAACGTCCTCACAAGTACACTACATTATTCTTGTGGCCCTTAGGAATTATAAGTAAAACTTACCACCCTGATTAGGGGATGGTAAAAATTTTGTAACAAGGAATATATTGGCCCCACTGAAGGAGACAATAGTGGCAAGGGACAATAGTGAAATGCTGGTTGGGTAAACTTAAGTGTTTATAATAGATGCTAACCCAATTGACAGTTAGAAGTACCCATTCCTTGGTGGGTACAATTTCCCATTAGTTTAATGATAATCAATTGTAACTTAAGTGCACAATATCCACAATCATGCTTTTCAATTAACCACATTAATTGAAAAGGAAGAATTATAGGGAGTGTGGACAGGAGGACAATTCAATGGTTTTTCTGTAGAGTGACAGATTGGGCCCTGCAACCTCCAGATTATTTCTCAATGTGCATGTTGTAACGTCAAAACCTGCCTTTGTTTTAAAGCTAGTTATCTGTGTATGTAAAATTTTAAAGTTTTTTGTTTTTACCGTGATTAAGTAGTCTATCATAAGCCCAAATAAAGAAATATACCAGACAATTATCACAAAAATTATACACTAAAGTGCTTGTGAGAAACTGCTGGCAATAACAGTCATTAAATTTCACTTAACAGTCTATATGATTGAGAAATAGTATATATATTAATAGGAGTGTGCTTGGACAGGTGTCCAATCGCTCCTACCATGTACAGTACAGTATTTCACCATTTGCCAGTAACAACTATACTGCTTCTTAGCGATTGACGTGGAATATTAAGATACCTATTTTTAAGCATAACAAGCCTTAAATTCATTATCAGGTTACTTGTTCTTGAAACCTACGAAGAAACTCAGGATACTGTATAGCTTCTTCAGCTATAGCCCCACCACCTCGCACCTCCTTGGGAACATTTGGTGACCTAACATCATTGCAATATAGATGAAAATTTCTTACTTTTCAAAGAAGAAAATTATAATTTTTTTAAAAGGACGTACAGTATTTTCATTTTTTATATTGTTCTGAGGACTAAACTTTAATTCTTAGCGTATATAACATATATACTGTATTATTACACTGAGAAATTACATTATTGTGATACACCAATGAAATCCACAGGAGCTGTGATCGAACCTATGAGCTTTTTCCACGTCGTGGCACAGTTGACTAGAGCATGCATCAGGGAACACCCAGCGCATAGGTTCGAACCCTCATCATGGCTCCTGTGGATTTGTTCGTGTATATTACCATTTAAAGTATAATTGTATTTTTGGTACAGGTGTTTTGCTCTATATAAATACTTGGCAGAAAGAGCACACAGTGCTTTTTCTGTGACAGTCATCTATTGAATATTTGTAGACAACATTTTGTCTGTAAGGACTTTACCTATAAAATTTAAGACAAGACTAGTGCTCATTAATGGAAAAAACAGGGAAAGGGTGATATCAGTGAGGAAATAGAAGGTTGGGGTGACTCCAAGTATTCCTTTGACTTATGATTATTACTGTATTAAGTAAGGTCTTCTCACAGACATAACAGAGGATAAAAACCTACACTTGTATATTTATGAAATTTATGTAAGGAATTTACACCAAAGTCTTTCACACTCTTCTGAGTGCTTTGTCAAGGTCTGAGTGTGTGATTAGGACGAGGCTTACATCTCAACGTCTAATAAATGATGAGATGTAAGTCTTGTCCTAATTCAGCCCATCCTCCTGTTTTGGTAGTACTTATAGTAACAATGAGGACCATAAAATATATACCGACGTACAGCGAAATTAGAATGTAGAAATCTGAACTATTGAGTTGGACAATCCGGAAAACTATTTTTTACTTGTGTTGCTTTGACAAACTAAACTAACCTAGGCCTAATAAACAATATCCGAGGCCTAATATAGCATGTGTGCTATACTAGGCCTAGGAATATTTAAGTTTGTGTTTTAGCTTCATTTTAAAAGAATTCCTTACCAGTCAGTATACTGTACAGTACTATCGTCTAGAAGCTAAGAACATACGAATTCTGACTACTGGCAATCGTCACAATAGGTACGATCTAAACAGGAGGATGGGTTGCCTAATCACACACTCAGACCTTGACAAAGCATTCAGAGAGTGCAAAAGACTAAATTCCTTACATAAATTTCAAATATAAAATTGTGGATTTTCATACTATATTATTATTATTATTATTATTATTATTATTATTATTATTATTAGTGTCCTATGGGTTCCGTACCCCCCTTTATGTCTGAAGTCTCCCAGCCAGTGGCGAGGTTTCAGACAGTTTAGAAAAGACCACTCGAAACTGTCAACCGCTCAAGATTATTAACATAGAAGGAAAAAAAAAAGGCAAATTAGCATAGATATTTAAGTATCTTATGGTAAAATTAAAAAGAATTTGCCTGCGATATCCAATTATTTTCTCGAAAAGTGTCCAAACCCTCCAATACACCCTAGAAATCAAAACACACGACACAGAAAAAATCCTCGTTACTAGCACTGGTGAATGAGCCAAGCAAACAGTGGTGCTACCACTGTCAGATGAGAAAATAACATTTTCTAACCATCAAAAAGGCAACAACAGACTAAAGCTTCTTACCTCAACAAGGGGAAGCAGAAGACTATAGCCATTCATCCAGCATACAATCCATCCCGGGAATATCGTTTCTGCCATACTGGAAAAACGGTTAACCAGGGTCAAAGGTAGACCAGCCTTAGCCCCAGAGATCCCACTGTTAGAGACAACATTTCATCTTTGAACCTCTCATGCAGTTTTCTCTAACTTTTTTTTTTGAATCATGCATACCCAGACCAATTCAATCCCAGCTCATCCACCCCCTACATCAACTAAGTTATTAATGGAGAAAGAGGAATGGATAAATATCCGTAACACATGTAAATTCACAATTTCTTATAGGATCAAACTACCTGTACTGTGTGTATTGTCTACATTCGATAATCTGAATCACATGGGCCCACCCCATTCGAGTTACCCGAACATTTGACTTGGCCGAAATTTTTACCAGGAATGTCAGAAAATAAATGGAAATTTTCATAAAATTCAATCACTCACAGCTCATCTTAAATGAGTAGAATAACTTGCTACTGCTTAACATCTCCATGTCGATTGCTACTGCTACCAGACATGGTACTAGCAAAATATTATTGAATTTTGTTAAAACAAAAAATTTAGGACAAAGACCTTTCAGCAAAACGAGCGTCACGAGGGAGAATCGCAAAGAACATGATTGAGAAGTTCAACTGGGTCAGGACTGGTCCATCCAAGTACGATACAGACTGCCAGAATAAAAAAATTCCCATTGTATCCATGAAATACACAGTTTTGTATGTGGTTGCAGGAGGATGGGTGGACAAGAGCAGGCAGTTGTATGCTGGCAGTAGGTTGAAACTTTTTGGTAATGTAATACAGTGCTCAGCGAGGCATAAAAACCATTCGACAAAGTCTGGCACACCAGCCTAAAATAATCAATTTTAGAACTAGGGCTTCCAGAAAGGTTGGCAGGGCTGCCTGTCAGCCACTGGTCCCCTCCCTGAACTACTCTCATCCCTCTTATCTCCCAACACCTTCCATTCCCCACCCCCTTGGTCAGGTGAAATAAGGAGAATTTTAAAGGCTTGATTGATGACTTGCCAGTGAGAAACAGACTGCCTGAATTTCTTATCAGTTAAACAGCCAAAAATTCAAATTAATTTATTCAAGTTTCTCGTTCCATATAACCTTTTAATCCAAATCCCCTTTTTTATGTTAAATGGTCAAAAAATAAACAAATAACAAGAATTCATTCGGATTATTTGGAGACTTGGGTTACCGGAATTCAAATTACGGAGCTCTAATAGTACAGATATTTCCATTTGTAATATGATGTCATAAAAAGTGTAGGACAAAAACGTGTATGGGTTTAAAGTGGTGAAAAAAGGAGAGAAGCGAGGTACTGCATGTTTTAGTGAAACCAAGTGATGTAAGATTGTATATAATAACTGGAAAAAGATTGCAAGGAAAATAGTTAGGGGTGAGAAGGAAACAAGATAAAGTTTGAGGAGTTTGGAAGTTGAATGACTTGTAAAGAAAAAATATTTTACAGATGGGTTAAACATTATCATGGCAGGAAAAACGTGAAGGATAAAGAGGGAACTGTGCAGAAAGACGTACATAACGTTATCAATAGGTGAAGTGAATGAACAAATCCACAAGGGTGGTGATGAGGGATTTGAACTTACACCCGGGATGATCCCAGACGCCGCCTTAGTCGACTAGGCCACGACGTGGTTAAAAACTTTTTTCACGCCCTCCTCACCATTGTATTAACTGTGGGGACATTGTGCACTTGCATCTCAACTCTATTCATATCCAAAAATTATTTATGGACTTTTAAGATTGGTCTTATCTTGGTTTGGACTAATGTGGCACTCTGGGATGACTCATCATAACCCTCTTTTTATCAGAAAGTGTTGAGTTCCAAAGGCACAGCTACTGTTCCTTCTGCCACTTCTCCCTCTGTATCTTCTGTTGACACCACTCTACTACAGCATACGAGTCTCTTGCCGTAGTAGTAGTTACAGCAATTTCTGCAAATTCCTGCCTTGGGGAGCAACAAAATGGGATAATTCAGAAAACTAACCAAGCATACAGTACAGTACTGTATGTAGGAAAACCTTTTTTTAAGCAGTATACTGTATTTGGTTATTCTCATATATGCTCTTCCTTCCCAGCTTCATATGCATGATGGTGGCTTTTCTTAGCCTAGGATTCTAGAGGAATTTGATAAAGCTGAACTGGAGGACTTTGTTGTGGAGTTGGTGCTGCCAGTGATAACGAATTGGTGATTTCTGTACATAGTGTTATGCTGCAGCGGGAAAAGTTTTCAACTTTATGTAAAGCACTTTTCTATCAATATTCTGGCCTGGATCGAGTATTCTTCAGTTCTCCCTAGCAGAAGTATTACTTGACAGGAACAGCTTGAAGAGTTCTCTGCTGTATCAGAGTGGAACATCAACCTGCCCTGCCCTGACGGTGAGAGCTTAACCAAAGGTAATAAACATCATGCCATTGTGAGGGAGTAAACAAGTGTAATGCTCAGAAGTGTTGTACATACAGTACATTTAAAATTACACTTGCAGGGCCCAAATATGACAAAGCAAGAGTTGATCTACAACTGCTGTAAATACCAACTCACCACAGTCCAACACTACTTGATAAATTGAGAATACACTATTATATCAAAGTGTCATACTGTATATATCCACACTAAGACAAGAGCTCATAACACGAGAACTGCAGCCCAACCACCTTGTAATGCCACGGTTATACTGCAGTTCAATGTGAATACCATTCAGAGTATTTTTTAAATAGTAAACAAATACTTTTAGATTTAAAAACAAAACCGACAATAGCTTTTGTTATAAAATTAAACAAATGGAAACCAGGGCAATGTAACAACAATGCTAGGAGATAAAGACAGTAAAATAGAGCTTGGCAAAATACTTGGTTCAATGCTGTACTGTACTAAAACAAAAAATGCACTTCAAACAAGATCAATCCATTTATCACAAGAAGAGATCCATTTAGCCAATTGTTCTGAACCACACACTTTCTCCAATCTACCTTCTCAGCCTTTTTGTCAGATCTTTCAAGAGCTGTAAGTGCATCCTTGAGGGCTTTGGACACCTCCTGGGGGCTTTTTGGGCTCTTGCGAAAAAGGGACATCGCGGTGGCCTTCCTCCCCCACCTTTTATAACACCATCACCTGTGAACAAAAAATCCATCATCAGTACACCAACATTTAATGCTACATTAAAGCTATTCTACCAGCAGACGATTAGTCTGTTGGTAAACATGGGCAAACAACATTTAGCAGCAACATGGGCAATTAATTCAATCATGAACATGATTTTTTTAAATTAAAACATGTTAGAATATACAATAATAATTATAATTAATATGCTATCCAAACAATTCACACAGCTCCTGCTGGCTAGTGAACCTCCTGCTGGTTCTGTGATATAGTGTCTCGAAAAGTGTGTCTGCTGAGCCCACCAAATTACCCCTTGCAGATTCTCCACCCAATCATTCAGATGATTTCAGATCACCATCTCATTTTTTCCTCTAACCCACTCCTTACACAATGGAACATATGCACTTATAAACACATCCCTCTCTCTACCTATCATACATTCAACCCTTACGTCCAGACACATTACCCCATAAGAGGCCGGTGCACAAGTTGGAGAAACTAGTAGGGTGCTCCAGTGGATAAGGAAGTACTGTACTGTACACCTAAGCAATAGGAAGCAGCGAGTTATTGTGAGGGGTGAGACCTCAGAATGGGTTGATGTCACCAGCAGTCTCATAGTTCTGTATTCAGACCTATCCTGTTTCTAATATACATAAATGATCTTCCAGAGGGAATACTCATTCCTCTCTGTTTGCCAATGCCAAAATTGTGAGAAAGATTAAGACAGGACAGCATAAAGCTACAAGATGACCTGGACAAACTGAAGGAATGGTCCAACAAATGGCTTGCCTGGACAAATGTATAGTAATGAAGATAGATGTACAGTACTTGTCAAAAGTATGCACCCCCGTCCCCGCCCAGCTCAAGGCGGCATGTACTTATGGCAAAATAATAATAATGGTCTTACGACTTATGGGTGAAAGATTGTAGATACTGTAGAAGTATGTGCCGGGTACATTACACCACGGTGTATGCTACCTTTCTGGAGCCACACAGTTGGGATATTTAGTTGCCCCCCGGACGTTCATAGTGAGTAGTGTTGTCTCTCACTCTAGCACCTTGCCATATTTTATTGCAGTTAACAGTGGTGGTGGTGGCATAATAATGATCTTATGGCACACACCATAGATATAAAAAAAACTATTGCTCAGATCATTGCCTTTAGCAGGTCACCAATTTAAGGAAACAATTGTTGGGTGTAGCAAAGTCAACATTTGGAAGTGTTTTGCATGCTTTTGAAGGAAAAACAGTGGTTACACGCCATCACAAACATTGATCTGGTCAATGTTTAAAATAAATATATGTTTAAACCCTTTATTCACAATAATTACAGTACAGTAGTAGCTAAAGTTTACCAAACTTTCTCAACTTAAGTGTTTGGTTAACCTATTACTATACACATACCAATCAAAAGAAGTGCTAAGTCTGCAGACACAAACAATGCTCTCTTCTGTCACATTAAGAATTCTAATCATCCTATCGATTAGTCGTCCTCTAAAATAATCTATCCTGCCTCTACTCTACACAGATGCCGTTTTGTCGAATAGACTGATACACATCGTACCCAACATGAACCAGAGTCCTGGCTTTGTTGTTGTTGTTGTTGTTGACTCTTCCTTTTCACAGTATGAATATACTTAAATGTTAAATACGAAAAGATTTTTAGACGAGCTTTACCCAAAAACCCAACATGTCCTGCATACAAGAAAACGCTAAATATACATATAACAATTTAATACTGGTAATTCAACGTAAAGAATGCACAAAAAAATAGACAAATGTGCGCGTGCACAACACTGAGAAATGGCACGTTAATTTTTGACAGACGTCAATGATCGTAGTCAATACCTATTATCCAGCAACTTTACCTACCTCGATTAAATCACAAAAGGATAAAGTAAGGCCCACCAAGTTGCTTCGGGCGACAAGGATTGCCAGCTAAGAGGTGGTCATGACGGAGTGTGGACCAGAGTGGGAGCGGCCGAGCCAACACCACTCAGCACACACACACACACACTAGGCCCCAGACCTGACATAACACAACCATCAGTGGTGTAGTGTAGTGAGTGTAAACAGGAGTCTGGGGAGGCCGCCCCCCCATGACACACCCCACCACCACCCCTGGCACCCCCGTCTGGCCCTACCCTCCCCCTCCCACCCCACCTGGCCCCCCGCCCACAGCCCCCACACACCCCCCGCCCACAGCAGGGGGGCGCGAGGTGTGGTGTGGGCTAGGGAGGTGTGAGCCACCACTCTCCCCACGCCCCTCCTGCGCCTCTCCCAGGCCACTCACCCGCCGGCGGCGCCCCCGACCCTCCTGCGGCAGCTCGGGGCGGCTCTCCCTCACGTCTCGCCCCTGGCCACCGGGTACAACCTCACGGATTTAGCTTTTAGTTTTGCCCCGATATCACGAGCTCTCAACACTGATTGACTATCAGTGGGTGCGGGTGTGGAGGGTCCGGGCTGCTGCCGACACCCACCAATCAGCGCGCAGGGCCACCCTCCTACACCAATCACAGTCCAGAACCTTCCTCGTCGGCCAATCAAATATCAGATTCTCTGCCATATTATATGCTCACTTTTTGGAGAGGGAATAAAGGAATTTAGGAATGTATTTAGCTTTGTTTTGAATAATTTTATATTAAATTATTTTTGTATTTAAAAAACAAGAGTATAAACCTGCCTAAGGGCGCAAATCCTTGATATGCCTTTTGTAAACAAGAGAAAGTATGTAATGTCTATTCATTTTGAATTCTTCCCGCCAAAAGCTAAATAATTCTTTATATATTTATTAAATTTAAATCTAATATTAGACACATAATCACAATAGCTTTTTACGTAATGAAAAAAATATTTTCAAGGCATTCCTTATTTACCAATTTACCAACGCCAATGAGGCGCTAAATTCAATTATATTTTCTGATTCCAATCATCAATGTCTGGGAAACAGGAAAAATGCACATGTATATTAATGCAAAAATATATAAAACGGCTAACACTTAATTTAGGTATTTTTCAAAAAGCTAAAATACTACTTAATTATATTTATACGAGATTGTCAAAATGACCCAAGCACTTTCTTCTAACCTTATAGCAGAGTAGCATTTAGTTAATTAAACAGTTAGCTATATATATACAAGTGTCTTACACACCCATCAGCATAGAACTAAAAAAAACACTGCACTCCTCATTGCAACACCACTTGAAACTACTGCATTGATTCCTTTATATATAATTTACGGCCTCACTAACACGATTATTACCTGAATTTACCTGAGGGCCACTAACACTAGTGACCACGACGAGGACAGGAAGCCGGCGGCTTGACGAAGGCCCCCCCCCCTCTCTCCTTTTTGCCTTGATTTTTTCCAGTTGAACTTTACAATTTAACAGAGTTTTGGCATTTATTATTTACGGCTTCAGCGGGTATGCAGTTCCATGGGTTTATATAACCCTGTGGGTGAAAAAGCATCTCCTGTTTTCAGTCCTACATTGTGCCTTGTTGAGCTTGAAACCATTGCTCCTTATTTGTGTTACATCTGACCTGAAGAAATTGTCTCATTTGGCTCATTTGGGCACACAATTTCCACCTGTTTCCTTGGTGATATCCTTCCAAACTTGGGCCAACATCTCCTTCATTTGGTCACTTTGACTTTTCCTTCATGTTCGTTACTTTTCCTACTATGTTGTGACACGATTAGTCAGGGAGCGGCAGAGAGAGAGAGAGAGAGAGAGAGAGAGAGAGAGAGAGAGAGAGAGAGAGAGAGAGAGAGAGAGAGAGAGAGAGAGAGAGAGAGAGAGAGAGAGAGAGAGAGAGAGATGTATGTGTACATACCTATTTGTGCCTGCAGCATCGAGCTCTAACTCTTGGAACCCTTATGTGTGTAATTACCTAAGTGTAGTTACGGGATGAGAGCTACGCTCGTGGTGTCCCATCTTCCCAATACTCTTTGTCATACAACGCTTTGAAACTACTGACGGTTTTGGCCTCCACCACCTTCTCACTTAGCTTGTTCCAACCGTCTACCACTCTGTTTGCAAAATAAAACTTTCCAATATTTTGTTTGGCACCTTTGTTTCCTTAGGTTGAATCTGTGTCCTTTGTTCGTAAAGTTGTTGGTTTCAGGAATTCCTCTCTGTCACTTTGATCGATTCCTGTTAGTATTTTGTAAGTGGTGATCATATCACCTCTCTTCTAACTTCTAGTTTTGGCATGTTTACCGCCTTTAGTCTCTCCTCGTATCTCTTGTTTTTTCAGTTCCGGAAGCCATTTTGTAGCATGCAGTTGCATCTTTTCCAGTTTATTTATGTGTTTCATGAGATTTGGGCACCATACAACTGCTGCATATTCCAGTTTTGGTCTCACATACGTCGTGAAGTTTCTTTAGTATTTCACCATCCATATAATTAAAAGCAAGTCTGAAGTTGGAAAGCGACGCATTCGCTCCTCTCACAATGTTCTTTATGTGTTCCTCTGGCGACAGCTTACTATCCAAAAACATCCCAGTATGTGTGTGTGTGTGTGTGTGTGTGTGTGTGTGTGTGTGTGTGTGTGTGTGTGTGTGTGTGTGTGTGTGTGTGTGTGTGTGTGTGTGTGTGTGTGTGTGTGTGTGTGTGTGTGTGTGTGTGTGTGAAAGCAACAAACACATTTTCGATTGACAACGAACAAATAAAATCTGAAAACATCTAATATTCGAGATGAAGAACAATGCTTAATTATAAACAAGATGAATCCAGATTGCTATTACTGTAAAGTTTCAAGGACATACTCCGTAAATAAGTCGACAAAGAAATTTGGTGTTAACAAACTCTGTAACTAGTTTATCTATGGTATAACTTGCTCAGCAGTAAGCAAATGTTGAGCTGTTGAACCACTGCATGGATGCCCGCTGCATGACTGGCAGGTATATGTATTGATCTCTAGTGATCTCGCCACGCTAGGCTCACTACACCTAAATACTCACTCACTGATCTTGTGCATGACAATAAGCTATGTGACTAGTTCATCAATGTTGTAACTTGTTTAGGTAAACCAATATTAGGGCTTCGTTCCTGAACCCATTATGGATCTCTAATAATAATAATAATAATATGAATATGAATATTAATAAGAATTATTTTTAAAACTCTAAGTTAATCTCACACCATATTTCACACCATGAATATGACCAGGTTTGAGGATATTTACTAATATTTCTTAAATCACTTAATTCTGGCTTACCACAACCAGCCTATGTCCGCTCCGTACGTCAGACCATTCCTCCTACACATTTGGGCGAGGCTACCCCCAAGCGTCTGACCTCCAACTTTGGACAGACATTTTCTCTTGTAGTATATATATTTACGACCAGTCCCCATCTCGATCGTGGGCTTGGCAGAAGGTAAGGTTCCCATGTAAATATAATACTTAGTAACTGTACCCAAAAGCTAGGAAATTCATTGTGGTGTTAAATTTGTACAGCAAGTGGGAGCGGCAGTAAAAAAAGCTAACCAAACCGTAGGAATAATGAAGTGTAGCCTTCACTTGTAAGGAAAATAAGGCAGTTATTCAACTGTATAAATCTCTGGATAAATCACTTGGATCATTGTGTCCAAGCATGGAGATCTCGTCTTCAGAATGACATAGCTGCTCCGGAGAAAGTTCAACACCCGGCATCCAAAATAATTCCAGAACGAAGTCAACTCTCATTCCAACAACGGTTAAGGGCCGCAGGGCTAATAATACTTAAAACTAGAGATGACAGGGTTGATCTTATCGAAACTTTTAAAATACTTAACAATTTGGAGGATGTTAAACCTGTCAACTTCAAAAGGTCGGATGTAACACAAACAAGGAGCAACAGTTTCAGGCTCAACAAGCTACAATATAGGACTGAAAGCAGATGTTTTTTTCACTCATATGGGTGGAACCCAATGGAACCGCCTACCCGCTGAAATAGTAATCGCCAAAACACTGCTGAATTTTAAAATCCAGTTTGAAAAAAAATCCTCAGGACAAATGGGGTGATTTGTGATAAGCAGTCAGCTTCCTGGCCTCGTCGAGACCACTGGCGTAAGTGGCCCCTCAGGTAAATTCAGGTATATTTAATTTTTACTCGAGTATCATGCACCCCGGCCCCACCCATCTAGTGTTGTGGGCGGCACTGGATGGGCTACATATATATTCACATAATGGGCTCAAGTATTGGTACGTGAATGTGTGATCAATGTGTGGTCACGTTACAAGAATGAGTAGTTTGATTACAACACTTCTTAGCACAATAAGTCAAAATTGGGCAGTGCAGATTATTCACCAATTTTAACTATCAGGGAAAAGCGCCAAGCCATCACGACTATATGGCGCTGGGAAGGGGTCAGGATAAGGATTTGGGATGGGACGGGGGAAAGGAATGGTGCCCAACCACTAGGATGGTCGGGGATTGAACGCCGACCTGCATGAAGCGAGACCGTCGCTCTACCTTCCAGCCCAGAATGCGTGGCAACTTTCTTCTCTCCCTCTGTCATTTGTCTCACTCAAGTTCACATGCTCAGCCCTACAAAGCTGCTATTGAAATCACACAAATGAATTCGTTACAAAGCGTATACAGTGTTACTCAACTCTGGCCGCGGGGAATTGTCAAACAAACGACCTTGGCTACACATTTAAACTTCAGTATATTTGAATTACATGGACATTCAATACACATATTTTAATTTTTGTATTAATTTTCATATAGCTCCATATGTAATTTGTATCTTGTGAGAGCAATGAGTGAGTCAGTAGCCCGTATATGCTAAGCAGTAAATTAACCGGGTAATACAGTATGATACTGGCACCAGTCGCCCACAGGGACCACGACCAGTTCGATCCGCATATTAGCTGCTGGCTCCAGCAGCCTCGTACAGCAAGCCTGGGTATCACAGGTGGCTACATACCTGCAGCCGCAGGGGATAAATCCCGAAGGGTTCAAGTTCAAGTGCAATAATCGTCAGAGTCCATAACAGGGCTGACTCATTTGAATATACTGAACAATTGGGAGGATATTGATCCAGACAACTTCTTCAAAAGGTCAGATGTAACACAGACCAGGAATAACGGTTTCAAACTTAACAAGCCACAATGTAAGACAAAAAGCAGATTTTTTTTTTTACCTACGGTTATAAATTCATGGAACTGCCTACCCGCCGATACCGTAAATGCCAAAACACGGTTGAATTTTAAAAATCCAACTTTAAAAAAAAAGACAAATGAGCGGACCTTTGACAAGCCGTGGGTTCCTGTCCTCGTCGAGGCCACTATTGTTAGTGCATGAAAGGTACCTGGCGCCCCGCAACACTTGCCTGGACGGTCTTCTCAACAGACGAGCAGCACTAACTCTTCCCAAAGCATATCCTTCCTCCAAGACCCATGACGCCATGCAGGGGCGTCACTGCTCATTTCCTTATATTTAGAGTACATATTACCCATGTCCATCATCCAAGATTCAACCAAGGGCGTCTCTACCCATGTTCCTCCTCCTGGGTACCCATCAGGGGGTCTCTACTCGTGCCCTTCCTTCAGGGTATCCGCCACAGAGTTTTGACTCTCCTAATGGAAACTAAAATATACTAGTGGTGTCGCTGTACATGAGGGGTTCCTTGCCTATAGCTCCTTTAGGAACCTAGGGTACCTCATTACCATTACTGAGAGGCATCATTCATTACCTATGGCCTGTCCTAAGGTACCTACGAGGATCTTTGGTACCCAGCAGTATGTTCATCCAGGTACCAGTTGCGTCACTGATACAGTATCTACAATATAGCAGCAGCACAATGCTGTGTATACCTAAAGCTTGTTAGTAACAACAAATCCTATTTCCATCCAAATACTAATTAAAATAGAAACCTTGAAAATCTTCCTTTTCGCTAATTAAAATTCATATTACAACTGTACATCACCCATCTGCTCATTGATACATTTATTTTAATATATACAAATAAAGAGGTACAATGGATTGTGAAAGAATATTGTTGGTGATTAAGTGATACATTCTAGCAAAGTTACTAACATGCATACCGTGTCAAGTAGAATCCTAAAGCTAACACAATGTTTACATAATAATAATATGATAAGGAGAAAGCGCTAAGCTATTACTATTATGTAGCACTATATATATATATATATATATATATATATATATATATATATATATATATATATATATATATATATATATATATATATATATATATATATATATATATATATGTCGTACCTAGTAGCCAGAACGCACTTCTCAGCCTACTATGCAAGACCCGATTTGCCTAATAAGCCAAGTTTTCCTGAATTAATATATTTTCTCTAATTTTTTTCTTATGAAATGATAAAGCTACCCATTTCATTATGCATGAGGTCATTTTTTTTTATTGGAGTTAAAATTAACTTAGATATATGATCGAACCTAACCAACCCTACCTAACCTAACCTAACCTATCTTTATAGGTTAGGTTAGGTAGGTAGCCGAAAAAGTTAGGTTAGGTTAGGTAGGTTAGGTTGTCGAAAAACAATTAATTCATGAAAACTTGGCTTATTAGGCAAATCGGGCCTTGCATAGTAGGCTGAGAAGTGCGTTCTGGCTACTAGGTACGACATATATATATATATATATATATATATATATATATATATATATATATATATATATATATATATATATATATATATATATATATATATATATATATATATATATATATATATATATATATATATATATATATATATATATATATATATATATATATATATATATATATATATATATATATATATATATATATATATATATATATATATATATATATATATATATATATATATATATATATATATATATATATATATATATATATATATATATATATATATATATATATATATATATATATATATATGCGCCTTTTCCACCTATCAAGGAAAAGTTTCAGTTCAAGATAGCATTTAGGAACAGGGTTTTGTGCACGTAGATAGCACATGAGAATGTGTGGAGTGAGTGTATGTTTAGCATGTTAAGGGACTTAAACAAAGGGACTGTGTGTTGTCTGAAGATAAAGTTTGTCATAGTTCTGATAGCAGATTTTTTGCTGAGTGATGATAGGCTTGAGTATTGGAGGGTACCCTCCAATACTCAAGCCTAGCTCCCATCACCCCTCTCCCCCACCAGATCACTATAGTGCTCTCCTATCACTCCTCTTCCCCACCAGACCACCACTATAACACTCCCACACCACCAAGAACCGTTCTATCTCCCCCTCCCTCACTACCAGACTACCAAGAACCCATCCATCTCCCCACCACCAAGAGCCCTCCCATCATCCCCTTCCCCCACTACCCCAGTGTTTACAAGTTATCTCACACAGGCTGGGCACCCACACTCAAGAGTACGCTGCTGCTACAGCTTCCGTGTTTGTGTATGCTGGCACCAGAGCTTGTAGCAACGAGAGGGAGGTACGTGATTCTGCGTGCTGCGAGGCCCTCCCATCCCACGTACACCAGTCCTGAGACCTCTTTATCTCTGTGGAGAAACACGTCATTAGCGGGAGTGGTTCCGGGCATGCGCCCTTGAGGTGGGTGGAGAGGCTGTTATCCTGCTCTTCCTCCAGGACTCTTATTTGGTTCGTCCTACTTCATATCATGGCGCCTAAGAGGATCGGGATTGTCGGCTATGGACATTTGGGTAAGTGAGAATACCTACACAGTTGCTATTAAAATTAAATCAGTCTATGTCGTTGAAAATTGGATTAAGTGTTCCTAATACAAAATGTGCAGTTAATTTATGTTGTTAAAATATATACACTTACGGATATGAAGAAATTATACTATGCTTGTAATAACCATACATAGATCCAAAGCTAGAGGCCAGATGCTTATGGCTAGCCTTACCAAACTTTGCACGATGACTGGTGGGTGCAGAGGGTCAGTCATAGGGGATGTTAGGATGGATCCACATGGCCCCCTTAAAGGGAGGAGTTTGGCCCCCATGCCATCCTTCATTAAGATTTAGAGATGAAATGTTTAGGTTCAAATCAATATAATTTTTAATTTCTTTTTTATATTATGGAGATATTTGGGAAAGGCCCAACCTCCATACACTTCCTATAGCAGGTATTTATATCTACAAGAGGATATCAGTTTGTCTGTCCATGCTTGGAGGTCAGATACCTGAGGATAGCCTCACTAAACTTTGCAGGGTGACAGGTGGGTGTTGGAGGATTGCCACAGGGGAGGGGGGGGGGGAGTCGGGGTTATCTCCCATGTCCTCTTTATGGAGCTGATGAAGTCAGTGAGGGGAAGACTTGCTAAGACACGTTCTGATGGCACATTTTGGGGTCAGCACACGTAGGGCAAATGGTGGGGAATATGGGTTTCTGCACCGAACCCAACCCAACTTCTCTGAATGTATTTAAACAGTTGACATGTGGCCGGGTCCGGCCCTCTTGCCCCCTTTATGGACCTGATACAGTCAGCGTGAGGAAGACATGCCAAAACGCACGTTCCGTTGGCAGGTTTGCATTCAGAGTACTCCCAGCACTTGAATGGCACAACCTTTGCGGTCGACCCAGGCACCGTTGAGTACCCCATCTAATATTATATACAGCAAATGGTTTCTAACTGTTAGAGGACAAAAACCCTCTTATAGTCTTATCGCGGCCCCCCCCAAGGTCAACGACTGACCTTGGCAGGATGCAACCTACACCCAGAGTTGTTCAACTCTAGGGGTTCATATACTGCTAGGTGAACACAGGTTATGATGGTCATCTGACGGGAGGCATGACGAGGAACAGTTTGTGTAGTAAAAATGCAAGATTGGCTAAATAAAATGAAATAATCAGGACCGGAAATCAGGCTACTGGCGAAAGCAGCACTGGCGCCCAGTTTATTTATTTATTTATATTTACAAGAGTTCTTACATTCTTGTAACGCCGTACAAGAAGCCTTCACGGTAGCGTTTCGGACAGGTCCTTAATTCTAATTTTCCCCGGAATTCGACCCGCGAAACTGTTTAACAACCAGGTACCCATTCACTGCTGGGTGAACAGAGGCTACAGTTAAGGATTGACACCCAGTAAGGATACGAACCCAGGCCAAAGCACCGGACGAGTGTTTTACCACTGCACCACGGGGACTGCGTTCCCGTGGCGTCTCGTAGTTCTAAATTAGTGAAAGCTTTGGAGATAACTAGAGCGACAGTCAAGAATAGTCTGGTGAATTGCGGACAATTAGCTGTTGGAGGTCACTATAATTGTGATGGAAGGGGCCCGTTTGCCCCATTGTTCTCACAGGGAAAGTTGTGTTGAGGGAGTAAGTCAGGAGAGAGTCAGACATGGGCCGGGGTGAATGTAGTATGGTGGGAGAACGGCTCATAAGGAATAATTAATCATGCGTGTAACTAGGAACTTATATACTTGGGCAAGCTGCTATATAAACGCTATTAAAGAGGTAATTAACCTTATTTAAATAACTAGTCATAAGGAGAAGTATACTGTACTGTATAGTACAAATTATCCCTCCAACACTAGAGAAACGTTGAGTCACCCTGGGACAATGTACCCACAGTATACCACCCTGGGACAATGTACCCACAATATACCACCCTGGGACAATGTACCCACAATATACCATCCTGGGACAATGTACCCACAATATACTACCCTGGGACAATGTACCCACAATATACTACCCTGGGACAATGTACCCACAATATACCCCCTGGGACAATATACCCACAAAATATACCCTGGGACAATGTAACCACAATATACCACCCTGGGACAATGTACCCACAATATACCCCCAGGGACAATGTACCCACAATATACTACCCTGGGACAATATACCACCCTGGGACAATGTACCCACAATATACCACCCTGGGATAATGTACCCACAATATACCCCCTGGGACAATGTACCCACAATATACCCCCTGGGACAATGTACCCACAATATAACCCCCTGGGACAATGTACCCACAATATACCACCCTGGAACAATACACCAACCTGGATCAATATACCAATTTGGTACAATATACCACTCAGGAATAATATACCTGCCTTGGTGAATATCCCAGCTTGGAACAATATCCCATACAATAATGTACCAGCCTGGAAGAATATACAACTTGGACTTTCAACCTAGAACAATATACTAGCCTTGAACAATGTACCAACCTGGAATAATACACTTACCTGGAACAATATATCAACCTGGAACAATATATCAACCTGGAACAACATACCAACCTGGAATAATACACTTACCTGGAACAATATATCAACCTGGAACAACATACCAACCTTGAACAATATTACTAATGTATCTGGAACAATATTCCAGCCAAAACCTCTAAGACTGGTCTAACATACACTTCATGTATAATATTTTGAACTTGATAAGGTTCTTGAATGTATTCAATATGCAGGTACACTAATGCTATTTTTTTTATACAGGTCTCCAGTGTTAAGTCTAATGTTAATCCACTTACAGGTCAATCCACTGGTCAATATACATATTGATCAATGCTGGTTAGGATGACCGAGCAGTCAGCACTACTGGTCAAGACTTGGCATATGAAAGATCACTAAACAGCAATAATAACCAAATCATTAAATATTAGCAAAAGCCATTTAATGAGTAAATGGAATACTGTATTGCAAATGAAATGTAAATGTTTAACCTTGGGGAGCTTCGGCATTATCTGTTCTTGTCACATGCATGCAAACTGTAGTACCAGGAAGCAAGCCTTGTATATTAAGTGGGGACAAGTGTAGAATACTGAACTAGACCAGATCTGATTCCAACATCCTTCCTAAATTTTACTATTACCAGGAAGAGCTCATACATTTTCATATAAATGAGTAGGTCAATGTTTTGGCTAAAACAATTACAATTATTTATGAATAATATATGCAAAGCTCCACTTTCCAGATTTGTAAATCTAGTGTCTAGTAATTCTGAAAACTGATTAAATAAGTAATTCTTCTAGATATATAAGAGGAGAACAAGGTTTGATCAGACCTGACCTTGTTGAGATTTGGCTATCTGACCCATTAAAATTGTTGTAGATAACCTTATCCCTTACCTTATCTGGAGGGGGTAAGATTTGAATGCATTAAACATGTAAAATAGTGCATGTACTCCCACCCACCTTTACTATCATGATGAGCTAACCTCCCAGCAGTGACAAGGACAAACTCCCAGTGACAGCGACATTCCTCTACTTAGTACTGGACCTACAATATGCCTCCTTTGTGATAGTGACATCCTCCCAAAGGCAAAAATATTTCATCAATTTGCTGGTAGTAGAATGAAGAGCCTTAGACCTGTGATGCTCACACTGTGTTTTTGATGCCGAGGGAGCAAGAACTCCTTCCCTAGCTGGAAGGGGGGTGGCTGTACGTCCTACATCACTATGAACTGTAATTAAATACTGTATAAGGAAAATCTAAGAATTTTGAGATGACTCTTATCACTAATATTTATGAAATATCAAAATATTAAATCAAAATTTATATATTATCCAAAATTGCAGTTGATTATGCATAGTTTGCCAGGTGTCAGTAGTGCATAGACAATCCTCAAGGTCACTGAGTAACCCTTCCATTTACAAATTAAAATAAAATTTAACTAAATCACCACAAATGTCAATTTTTTAGCTTGAGGAACATTGAGGTCCAGTCCCTAAACTCATAATTATGTGACCAGCTTTTTTTTTGTAATGCCCACATGATGGGTATGGGATCAATAATCAGTTAAATATATTAAAGTGACAACTTTAACTCAATTTTTATACAACAACTATTTCACCTTGCCATTTTCCTTATTCACCTCACAAAAATAGGTAATGAACTAGAAAATAAATCGTTATTAATGTTACTGAAGTGCTATAACAATATTGTGACATGTGACACTATAGTGTCACAAGTGCTATTATGACACTAACAATAAATTAACACAGTAATAATATAATGAAAACTTTACAACCCATAATTAAAGTAAATAAGAAAGGGTATGCTGAATGATTAAAACATCAATGAGGTGTTCAAAAAAAAGTGGTTAATTGTGATGAAACAGTGATTCCTGACCCATACAGGCCAGTACCTGACCCAAGCTGCCCTCCAGCGAGATGACCTTGACTTGGCATTTGTATGGAATCGCACCTCAACTGCCCTGGAATCTCACCTAGAGAACAGGTGAAAAGAGAGAATGGGAATGGAGGAAAACACAGGAAGTTTCTGACTTACGAACATCCAGTCTTATGGTTTCTAAATCCCTATTTCAGCCCATGTTTTTTTATACAAACCACTTCAAAAGTCCACACACATGATGAACAGTGCTTATAATTATTTCAGTTGTTTATCAAGGAAAATTGCCTCAATAATGGCCGATAAGATGAAATAGTGTATTGGTGGTTCCCCAGTTACAAACATCCATCTTACAAATGCCATTTCAATAGGCATCTCATTCGTAAGTTGGGAACTACCTGTAATAAACAACTTAATAATCTGTCATGAATTTCAGAAAAACTGTTTTATATATGGCTTGTAGACAAAGAATGGCTCAATGACAAAGACGACAAACAGCTTAGGGAACAAAGAAGGCTCTAAAATTGCAGTTCTCAATGTTCCAGATTGCATTCCTAGACTCCATTGGCATTGTCTAAGGGTTAAGGAGGGTGGGGGGTAAGGAAGCATGAAGTGGCTGACATAGTAACGGCACAATAAAAGGCTTCAGTTGGGACAAAGATGGCATAAAGACATTAAAAAATCTGTAGACAAACTATAGTGACATTATTTGAACACATAAGTTTCAGCTAAAGGAAGCCTCAAGAAGCTCATTTGATTATGTTTTTGAAAGCTGTTTTATTTTATTATGTGGCTACATATTATGTTGAGGTGAAAGGTTTGCCTAATTGTTTATATTGCACTGTATTGCATTGCATAGAAGTGTGTTATATTGTAGTGTACTAAGTGTACAGTACTTCATTATAAATAACGGCATTGACATAATTTTCCATGTGGCCACCATAACTGTGGGAGACACAGGTACATATGTCGAGACTTGGACGAGTGTGGAGAGTACTCACCAGACCTGATCGTTGAGGTGGCCCATCCAGTCATCACTGAGAAGGTCAGTGTTATCACTCCTCTTACCTCTCATATACACTACAGAAGCAGCATAGTATTGACATGTAACTAAGTATGCTAAAATTATGTATTGAAGCATTTAGTACAGTATAACAAAAGCATTTTGTTATATTTCCTGCTTTTCCCTCAACCACATTATTGCATTAAACTATATTTTGGTAATGCTCACTACTCTCTTATGCAGTATGGGGCACAGTTCCTTAGTGTGGCTGACTACATGGTTGGGTCCCCTACTGCCCTGGCATCACAGACGGTGGAAGAGGCTCTACGGGTGGCAGCCACGTCACATGGACTCTATGTGCCAGCAGGAGCACTATGGGGTGCTGAAGACATACTCAAGATGGCTGATCGGGGAACACTCAAGGTTTTAGTACAATAGATGATTTTTATACTTATTGAGAGTTAACTGTGCAAGTCCGGCTCATCCTCTCGAGTCGTCACGTCACAAAAATTATGTATTAAATTGCCTGAACCTAACGTAACAAGAATTGAAAATATCTCAGGATTTAGGTGAACTGTTGTATTGTTTCTGTAAACAGTCCCAGGTGCTTAGGGCTGCCTTCCCTGGGTGCTCCCCTAGCATTACCTAGAAGAAAACTGCCCTCGCACTGTTAGTTTTTTCTTCTGAATTTACCAAAATTTACCTGAGAGCCACTAACACTCTAGTGGCCTCAATGAGGGCAGGAAGCTGGTGGCTAGTCTTTTCTTCATCAATCTGCTTCATCAATCCGCTTGTGGAGTTGACAGTTGTGATGTGTATTGTTCTGCCATACTGTATTTGCAAGGTCTTGCATTTTTTCAATATTAAAAAAATTTGCCAGTCTTCCGACCATTGTGGAATTCATGTAGAAATTTTTTGAAGGCCTCAATATAATTTTTGTTTCTTACTTTACCATAGATCTTAGGATCATCTGCAAACTTGATGATGTGGTTTGTACCTAGTTTATAATATTCTCATCTATATCATTTTGTATATGACAAAAATTGTTACCCAGAATGGAACCTTGCAGTACTACACTCACCACATTTTTCCAGTAGGATTCATTTCTATTTAGGAGGGCAATTTGCTTTCTTTGAATGCATTGCTAATGTTTACAATATTTTATGATTCCAGGCCTTGAAAGTTACAATGACAAAGCATCCAAGCTCTTTTAAACTTAAAGGAGATTTAGAAGTAAAAAATGCACAAGTATGTGGTAATGAGTCAGTAATTCTGTATGATGGGCCAGTACGTGGGCTCTGTCCACTTGCACCCAACAATGTGAACACCATGGCTGCAGCAGCAATAGCTGCACATAACCTTGGCTTTGATGGTGTACAAGGCTCTCTCATCTCTAACCCACTGTAAGTTCATATGGATTTCAATTACACTTTTGTATCTTGATCTGATTTTGTCATATTTCACTAGACTGTATTGCTTCTCCTTTTTTGCAGTTAGTGTCTTATCATCCTATGAAAGAGAGGAAAATGATAATTTTATGGTACAAATAATATTTTTACCATCAATTTCAAAGTGTTTATAGAAATTGTAATCATGTTAAACAATACCTGCTGGAATCCGATTAAAACCTTTTATGCCGTCTATAATTCTATTCTGACAACAATAGTAAAAGGGTAATGATGAAAATCATGTTTTAGTTCAAATTTCAATAAATGTTATTATTCCTTGAATAAAGGTTTATATTACTGGTACTCTTTACAGTATTCTGTAGGCTTGCTGTAGTTTTCAAATTCAGAATTGCACTTTTTAATCAAAGAGCAAGTACAATACATTCTCACTTTAATTTACTACTACTACAGTACTACTACACACACACACACACAAGTGCATATCTGCCACTATAGAGGATGGGCAATGTTTGAAATGTAGACATTACTACATTAACCCTCTTGTCCATTATACAGGAATATAAATTTCTCAACTTTATTTTATAGGTTAACAGACTGGCACATAGTGGAAGTTGAAGTAACAGGCCCCGAGATTGCAGGGAAAAACTTCAGTGTGAAAACCACTCGCAATAATCCTGCTGACCCAGGAGCTGTGACCGGCACTGCCACATATGCCTCTTTTCTCTCCTCTATGGTTCGGGCTGGAGGTCGTGGTGCAGGGGTTCATTTATGCTAGTTACATAGTTTGAGTATAACTTGAGGACCAACAATTCATTCACATTACCAATCTCTGGGAATGTGGTATGAATAGTGTACGCTTTAAGATTTTTAATTTACTTCGCTTTAAGTACAGACATTGTTGTTCAGTACTGTTCTATACTACGTAAGCAATAGTTTATATTGGAATGACTTTTCATAAGCAAAAAGGACAAAATATATGTGCAATACTGAACTAAATTTAATTATTTTTTAGTACTAAACCGAATTGAATCTTTCTGTATCAGATACAGTACTGTATGGAAAGTAATAACTGACAAATTCATTGCATCTGTATACATGGCACTTATTAAAACTTCACTAAATGCTAAGGTAGACTAATAAAAATTATGTTTGTATGAATAAACTTTATATAAATTATTGTATGTAAGCTTTGTTTCTCTTTTAAATATTTTAATAATATATATTCTTTGAAACTAAATTATTTCCCATCTAAGCAGACTGCCATTATATAGTCTTCATTTTCCAGATAATGAAAGTTAGAAATGGTTGCATTGAGAATGAAATACTGTACTGTACAACTAAACCTGTTTCAATCACATGAGAGATCTCAATAAATGAATCCACAGGTGAGTGTGTCTCGGGATGTAATGATTTCAAACTGCTTTATGATCTCGGAGGAGAAATGAACTTAATGAATGAAAAGTGAACAGACTGGTGTAATTAGTACCAGCTGGATTAATGTGTGCAGGACGGTGAAATAAACACAAGCTGATATAATGTGCACAAATTCATGAAATGAGCATGGGTGGAGGTGGTGGAGAAAGGTGGTGGTATACTGCAAACCAGGCATGGCAGGGCAGATCTCATTGAAACTTTTAAAATACTAAACAAGTTGGAGGATGTTGATCCTGACATTATCTTCAAAAGGTCAGATGTAACACAAACAAGGAGTAATGGTTTCAAGCTCACAAACTTCAAAGTAGGACTGAGAACTGGAGATAATTTTTAACCCACAGGGTTATAAACCCATGGAACCACCTACTCGCAGAAACAGCAAATGCCAAAACTCTGTTTGGTTCTAAAATTCACCTGGAAAAGATCATATAGGCAAATGGGGGTACCTTTGACAAGCCACTGGTTTCCTGTCCTCATCAAGGCCGTTAGTATTAGCGGCCCTCGGGTAAATCGGGTAAATCTGTTGTGTCCGGTTCCGTCACTACCTGTGGGCCACCAGGTCTGCCTTCTTAGCTGACCTTGTTTCCTTGGTCTGTTCCATGGCTCATATTTCTCAGGTTGTCCACATTGTCATTAAGTCTTAGACATTAATGACAATGATGAGTCACTGATGAGACGAGTTTTGAGCTAGTGTGAATAAACCCCTTGTTCCGTGTGAATTGTTTGTAGGGATGTTTGGCAGTTTTCAAGACTTCACTTTCTGTTAATCCAACAGTTGTCTGTAGAGCTTCACTAATTTCCTGGTAAGGAGGAGGATTGTCACTTGCTACCTGCATTTCTATGAGAGGGCCAGGTTCTGGCTTTAGTCCCGGGTGGGCCAAACAGAACTTCTCCGACTGATGTGACCTCTAAGCATGAAGCAATCATGGCAAGATAGCTTCAGAAAGCCACCCTGGGCACTACCATTTTTGCATACTTGTCAACCTTTATATCAGCTCTAAAAGTATTTCCTACCTCTGAGATGACAACCCATCCTCCTGTTTAGATAGTACCTATTGTAACGATCGTAAATAGTCAGAATTCATATGATCTTAGCTTTTAGATACAGTAGTAGTATACCGACTAGTAAGGAAGTCTTAAAATAAATGAATCTATAACACACTTAAATATTCCTAGGCCTAGTATAGCACACATGTACTATATTAGGCCTCAGATATTGTGTAGTAGGCCTAGGAAGGTTAGGATAGGTTAGTTTACTTTGTTAAAGCAACACAAGTAAAAACTAGTTTTCCAGTTTGTCCAACTCAATAGTTCAGATTTCTACATTCTAATTTCCTTGTACGTTAGTATACTGTATACACTATGGTTCTCATCGTTACTATAAATACTAACAAAACAGGAGGTTGATTTGGGGAGTCCAGGATGTTGGAGATAAAGATGTTTTAAAAATATGGTGGTTGTAACACCAAACTGGATGTGTCTTTGGTGGGGTGCTTACTCTGTATTCTAAAGATGTAATAATACGTATTAGTTATTATTTATAAAAGATTGTATTAATAAAACACAATTTACTTTAAATAGTAAATATATTGAGGATGAGGGAAGACGTACTAAGAGAAGGCTACAATATTGCATCATGTGTAGTGATGGCCAACCTGTGCACAGTCAGCCACACTGACAAAATTGTTTTTGCTAATACAAGATCCATTTCATTTGGTGGAATTGAATTTAGCACAATTTTATTTGTTACGTCATATACAACAGTGCAAAGTTTAAACTCGACTAAATGTAGATTGAAAAGTATTTTACTAGTACTGAGGTGGTATGCATTGAATAAGATTTGTTTTGGGAATCAGTTCTACAGCTTCCCAATTACTTCTAAAATGAAAAAATGTGACTGGTGCAAGGTAACACTGGATCGTGGGAGAGAGCACAGTGACATTACAATATGCACAATATTAAATAACTATGGATTTGTGGAACAAAGTAGATTGTGCAAGTAATGGGGTCATGAAATTTTTTCACTTGAAATTTGTTCATAAATAATACAAGAATTCGAAGCACCCAGCTACCAAACTGGCAGCATAAAATTTGGAACGGAACCAAAAAAAAAACGGAACGGAAGACTTCATAAAATTTGAAGTCTTGTGGCAAAAGTTCTATACAGTACATATTATAGTGCACAATTTGGCCAAAAATATTTTAAAATGAGTTACCATAATCACTAAGTATTCTAATAGCTAGTTGTAGCAAAATCAAACAATACATTCTAAACTGTACTTCCCAAAATGTGCATAGAATGAATGGATAGGTGGGTCAGTCCTGTATACCTTGAATCAATGTTGGTCAAGAGAAAAATGATAAAAGAAAAATCTTTCATAATTCATAATTATTCATATAAATTAAAAGTGACTTATCAGATTTCTATTTACATACACAAAATGTTATATGACAAAGAGTATTGGGAAGACAGGACACCACTAGCATAGCTCTCATCCTGTAACTACACTCAGGTAATTACTCACTCATTATTGACATACTTTTGACACACACACTATTCAAGTGGTGTGAATCATTGCATCATATCCGAGTAGTAGTGTTGGAGAGAGCCATTCAAATGGTGTTCCCGATACCATAAATATACTGTACTGAGGTCAATGTGGAGAGTGGCAATTTCTGAGAAAAATATACAAATCTGGGAACAACTTTTGAGCCAGGGATTCTAAACCAAAGCAGCCGGAACTAAAACAAAGACGGTGGATGGGACAGGGTCGTTAGTGGAAACAGCAAAGGAGACAGACTTCAAATGTTTTACTCAAAAACGAAAAGAGGAAGGTGGTTTTCTAAACAAGTTAATTAATGATGACTAAAGATTTGCTAAAGGCTAACAAAGGAAAATTCCTTAATTTAGAATAAGAAAACGAAGATCTCAAGAGCCAGGTTAATAATTCATCAAACAGTATATTGCAGCAGGATAAGAAAATTGTCAGGTAAGGAAGGTAAGGAAACAGGAAGGACAAATCAAGGAACTAGAGAAAGAATATGAAACAGAACATGAAGGGAAATGAATTTGAAGAAATAAACAAAAAGATAGATAGTTATGGACAAATACAGACCAGCCAAAAGATACAGTTAGGCAAGGATTTTCTAAAAGAAAATCCATAGGCAACTCAAATGGGAGAAGTTACTAGAGGATTGGAAAAGTGCAAAAGGGAAATAAAAGAAACATGTACAAGTTGTAAAAGAGAAAGAAACAATTAAGGAAATATGTTTGGAAGCCAAGAACAGAAATAAGAAGTCTTTTTTTTTTTAAATGAGAAGAAGAAAAGTCTTGCTCCAGTACTTTTCCTCATCCTCATATCAGACATAGACAAGGATATAGATTGATACAAATTAGAAAACATGGAGGTGTTGCTATCACGAAGGCATGACTAAAGGCACGAGTCCATCAGCACTTTTGCTTAAATACTGTACTTGACAACCCTCGAGAACTAGACATAATGGTGCTGGAGATTTGTAGTCAGAATGATAAATGAATAATTATTACTGCACACAGTGTACCAGCAGGAAATACATGGACTAAGGAGGAGAATGATGACTAAAAAAAGAGGGCTTTATAATCATCATGAAAGAAATTATTGTAAAAGCAAATAAAGATAAATCACCATTGTTGATACTTGGTGACTCCAATTTAAAATTGATGAACTGGGAAGACTATGAAGCAAGAACAGAGGACTTTTGAATCGGCCAATTTGTAAACCTCACCCTAGAATCTTTCATGTATCAACATGTAAAACAGCCCACAAGAATGAGAGGTGATGCTCCATCATTGCTGTATTTGGTATTTCCCATGAAAGAATAAGAGATATTTGACATTCAGTACTTTCTTCCAATGGGCAAGAGCGACCATGTCCTTTTGGAAATCATATAAGCAATGCATTAGAATTTAGAAGAGATTGGAAGCAATGAAATAGTGAAAAAACTTTATTTCAAGAGTAGGCACATGGAGGAACTCTGCAAGTTCTTTAATAAATGTGATTGGAAAGTTATATTGTTAGAAAAGGAAGTAAACAAGATGTATGACAAATTTTCTAAGATATATGATAAAGGTACAGTATAAGGAAATTTTTCCAGTACTGTACAGAGGTGCAGAACTAGAAAGCAGGATTGGTTCAACATAAATGAGGAGTGGGCAAGGAAACAAATGATAAAAAATGGAATCAATATAGGAGGAGGCCAAACACTCAAACATGCCAACAATACAAAGACGCAAGAAACAACTAGATTGCAGTGAGAAGAGAGGCAGAAAGAAATTTTGAGAAAGGGATAGTGGACAAATGTAAAATGGAACCAGGCCTATTCTATAAATTCATTCAAAGAAAATTGCAGGTAAAGGATAAAATTAATAGGTTGAAAATGGGGAATAAATTTATGGAGAATGAAAAGGAAAAGCGTGAAACACTAAATGAACAGTTCCAAAGTTTGTTTGTGCAAAATGAAATTTTCAGAGAAACAAACAATATGAATTTAAGAGAATAACATAGAGTACATAGAGGTGTGTCAAGATGAAGTAGAATAAATACCGAAGGAACTAAGTACAGTAGAAACAAAGCAGTTGACTCAGATGGAATTTCATCTTGGATCCTGAGAAAATGCACATCTGAAATGAGCATTCCACTTCAATACCAACTTATTTTTCAGGCACCTTTAGGTACAGAAATCTTAGCAGACATATGGGAAACC